ACATATTGTTACCTATTCCAGACATACTGAGACTGTTTCCATCTTTTGGTTTTTATTAGATGTGCCAGTTCCCTACAACTTATACACATAAAGAAACATGCATTTTTCCATGTACAAGATGCTCCCATATATAAGATGCCCTCCTTTCTAACCCAAAATTAAGAAATCTTAACTTAGCTTTGAGTATTCAGCCTCTGGGCTCAGAACATATTGTACCTGAGCACTGCCTATAGCTCCACCTTCTATTGGTTTGTGTTACAATCAGTTTGTTCAGCATTAGCTGACATCAGTTATATAAGGCTCATGATTGGAGGAAGTGAAGTCTCATGACTGTAGGAAGCTAAGCCTCGTGATCGAAGACAGCCTGTTTGCAGAGGCAAGGTATGGGCCATTTTGTCCTCTCCTTAGCTTACTTCGAGAAAACCTTCAATTTTAGGTCTAAAGATTTTAGACAAAAGTATCATCTTATACAGACCCTGATGCTGGGAAAGTGTGAAGGCAAGAGGAGAAGGGGACGGCAGAGGACGAGATGGTTGGACAGTGTCACCGAAGCTACCAACATGAATTTGACCAAACTCCGGGAGGCAGTGGAAGACAGGAGGGCCTGGCATGCTCTGGTCCATGGGGTCACGAAGAGTCAGACACAACTTAATGGCTAAACAACAAATCATTTTATACATGGAAAAATACGGTAACCAAGAAAAGATTTTGCAAAAAGCATCTTGCAAATTTATTGGCATTAATTCTGAATTAACATTTCCGCCAAATCCCAAAGTTTTGCACATTTGTTTTATTGCTTATTCGTTGAAAACAGTCATGACATTTTGCCCCCTCCCCAACCCTTAAAAGATCCCCACTTTCCATGTTATAGGTAGTAATCTGTTAAGAGCTTGCAGAGGGGCCAGAATTTCATGGCTCTTTTCAAATTATAAGCTGTGGAAATCAAAGTAAAAAAAAAAATCTCTCTGAGCAAAAATTCACATTTTCACAAGTTGTGCTGTTGCACAAGCACTGATCTTCATGACAAAAAACCTACTCTCTGCTTGCCCAACAGATAGATCCTGGGTGGTTCGGCTGGAGGCATTTTCTACTCAGCAGAAAATCAACAAACTACCAGTTTTCCTATGTTTTAAATCTTGAAACGCATTCTCTCCACAACCTACTTCTCTTTCCATCTCTTCACTTCCCTCTCCTAACTGCTATAGTACCATATTTGCTGGCGTACAAGACGACTTTTTGGGCCCAAAAAACATGCCTCCAAGTGGGGGGATTCGTCTTGTACGCCGGGTGCACTTCATTTGGGCTTGCTCGCTCGCCCACCACCCGCCCGTTTCCCTTTTCCTCCTCCTCCTGCCGCCCCCCCCTTAGCCTCTTGCCCTCTTCCTCGCCAGAGCCCGCCGCTGAGCTGCCCGCCACCCGCGCGTGCTGAGCCTGTTCAACTCTTGGCCATACTCGACTATAAAATACTGTATGAGTATTATTTGTTGTCACACATAGGTTTTATTAGCCGTTTTAATTCTCATTAAAATAACAGTTATAACAATTATAACAAATATGGCATAAAATATGCCATATTATATTTATATTTTCATAACATATACGATATAGCATATGGCTCCTGGGGTATTGATAACAGATTCTATTATTTCTCCCTTCACTATGTCTCCTTTATGAGTAACAGATGGCAAAGCTGTAAGAAAGAACAAAGTAAATCCCAACAACCCCAAATCTGCCTATCCACAATAAAATAAAAACTTGGTTTCCTTATCTTGTCCAGCCTCATATGTATCAGCATTCAAGGGCCAATGTTTCTCTTGGGAATTACATACATGCTACCATAAAAAACAGGCAATCAAATCTCAGCACAGCTCTGCCCACTGCTTCTCTCTTGCACACACACAGAGAGAGACCTGTTCCTTTCCTAAATAATAATAATAATGTGTGGTCAAGTCAGTTTTGACTCAGGGCCTTCAGATAGACAATGGTCAGAAGCAGTTTCCCATTCCCTTCTTCAGCTTGCCCAAGGCCACACAGGCTGGCTTTCCTCCCAGGAGGCACAGTAAGGAATCAAACTCGTAACTGCTGGTTGCTCAGTCAGATACCTAAACTACTGAGCTACCCAACCAGCTGCTCCTATCCATGTTGTTTGTTTAGTTGTTTAGTCGTGTCCAACTCTTTGTGATCCCAATGGACCAGAGCACGCCAGGCCCTCCTGTTTTCCACTGCCTCCCGGAGTTGGGTCAAATTCAGGTTGATATCCTTACATGGCTGTAAATGAATACAGTCCATTATATCAAGTAGAACCTTTGAATAATGTGACATAATGGTGTGATTTAAAGTCAAACACTGGACAGAAAATCAGTTAAGTATCTTCAGTTTCTCTGCTTCGTATCACTGACAAGAGTTTTTTTTTTTTTTGTTAAAAAGAAAAGAAAAAAGAAAAAGTACCTTTTACAAAACTTGTGGCATAATTATGTTTAAATATTGAATACAGTCCATTATATCAAGTAGAACCTTTATGTGATGTGACATAATGGTGTGATTTAAAGTCAAACACTGGACAGAAAATGAGTTAAGTATCTTCTGTTTCTCTGCTTCGTATCACTGACAAGGTTTTTTTTTTGTTAAAAAGAAAAGAAAAAAGAAAAAATACCTTTTACAAAACTTGTGGCATAATTATGTTTAAATGTCAACTCAATTCTGAGGCTTTGGGGAGCACAATTTGCCATCTACGGGGAAATTTGTTTCAGAGTTTTGTAAGACGCTCAACCTGGCAATGGCGAAGAAAGGCAGAAGTGGGTCACAGATCAACTGAGGTTGCCACCTTAGCTCTATAGCACACCATCTCCTAAGTGTACGTAAAGTGATCAAGGGAGAAGCAAGCTTTTACAGACATTATATTTGCTTTTGCTGTATTTGCTCCTGTGCCGAACAGCACACCATGTCCTAAGTGTACGTAAAGTGATCAAGGGAGAAGCAAGCTTTTACAGACATTCTATTTGCTCCTGTGCAGAATCTGACAGGATTATATGTGGCTACACTGTGTATAGCTCCTTCACATGCACTGCATATCCAAGCATGGCATTTGCATCATCCTGAGTATCTAGGATGTTAAAAGAGCATATGATGAAAACCATAGGGCCAAGGTTGGACACCACTGATCTAGGATGTTAAAACAGCATATGATGAAAACCAGGTTTCCATAGAGTAGCATTGGAAAACTACCACTATAAATTAGGGCTCCATAACCTTCATACAATCCAGTGCATACTTCTTTAGGAGTAAGTGCCTTTCAACACATTAGCTGAAATCCAGTAGGAAGTCACAGCTAGAGTAGGCCCACAGAATCAATGGAATTTAAAGAGCCAGTTTTGGCATTTTGAAATGAACGATAAATTATGAGCAGAGAAAGAAGGAAGGGATTCCTTTGCTTATTCATATATTGAAACAAAACACATTATTGGCTCAGGTTCCTTGACCTTACAAAACTCACAGAGCAAACAGGATTTCTTTATTTTTACAAAAAGGTACTCAAAAAGTATATATTTCAAAAAAAAAAAAAAAGGAAATGTTCTTTCAATATAAATTCTGCCACATTAGGTGTTACCTTTGATGCCATTCTCATGAAAAGCTTATTTTGGTCCTCTGCTGTTCTCATTTTTTCATTCCTGACCAAATCCTTCAAGGTCAGATTATCATCATCTTGAAAATACCGAACCCTTTCCTTATCCACGTGAGTAGTGATCTGAAAAGGAATAGCAAGAAAGGGAAGATTTAATTTGGTGCAACTGCTAACTGTTTTAAAACAAATCCCGTGAAAAAAAGAATTCATAAAATTATACTATCCACAACCAGCCCTTGAATTTTATAGAATGTCATCTCAACAAAACAATCACAACTTGATTTACCGTATTTTTCGCTCCATAAGACACACCTTTCCATAAGACGCATCAATTTTTTAGGAGAAGAAAACAGGAAAATCTAATCTGTTTTCTTTGCTCCATAAGACGCACAGACTTTCCACCCCCCTGTTTTGTGGGAAAAAAGTGCGTCTTATGGTGTGAAAAATACGGTAACAGATAATACATGGAAATGGCTGGATTTCTTAATTAGATCCTGTTACCATAATGGTTTGCAAGAGGCTATTCAAAATTATTTTAAAAATAGGTAAGTACTGAATATATAATTACTGGAAAAGGGAGAACTCTTATAACCGAGAGAAAAGCACTGGGGAGCTTCATATTGCTCCTCAAGGGAGGGAGGCAGGCATGTAAGGAGGGAAAGCAGATAACACCTGCTAATGGATCAGCTGACACATAATCTTCCATTTCACAGCAGCCATGACAGAAAAACATGTATGTTTCATGACTCTACAGAAACTGCTATGTTTACATGGTTTCAGGAGTTCAAGAACAATTTTGCTTGGCTCCCACCACAGACACTACGCATTTAGGGAACACGTTCTAAAAGGAAGTGAAATGGGAATATTTTATTACACACACCTTCTGAGTCTTCCTTCGCCTGCCCGGGGGTGCCAGTGTTTCACCTGGAGCATTAACAGGCCACATTCCACCAGATTTATCAGTTCTGACCAAGACCACTTCATGGTCATCATGGAATCCTGTCGTCTGTATTAAGATTAAAAAACAAACAAAAACAGAGAGCATAAGTTACACACAAACACGGGCATCATATGCTGATTCAATGACACCATTTTAAACTTAGAGCCAATGAAAAGAAGTTATTCAAACTACTTTTCTGCAAAAGAATCTTGGAAATAGCTGCCAAGAGGCATCCTCTTCTAGATGCATATGAAGAAATTTCCTCAAATAATTCTCCTGAACCAAAGAGAAGATAACACAGTTTCAAATATCCTTTTTTTTATATTGAGTTGAGATATTCATTCACAAATTCATTATGCCATTGGCTTTTAAAGGTTTGCAGTTCAAATCATCATGTGCATAAAGCACTATCCTAAATTGCAGGTACACGTGGGGAGATGATACAAACTGTAGAACGAATCAAGCATTTGGGATTACAGGGCTCAATGGGTTGTGGGGATGGAGGTAAATCTCACCCCCCACCATCCCCAGCCCAACCTGTCATCATGTTTTTGAGTGTTCAGCATAATGCTCTGCTTAAATAGTAAAACTGCATTCAGATGAATGTGCTTACAGCACTTCTGTGATAAGCATCCCTTATAAGGAAGGGATACCTTTCATGGAAAGATCACAAACACATTCAACTAAATGTGTTTACAACGCCTGCACAGATTTTAGCACTGAATAGCTAAGGTCTGCATGGTGGGATTAGGATGGGGTCTGTTTGCGTTTCCAACACCCTTTGAGCCCTACACGCTTTCACACTGTACACCCAAAGAGGGCTTGTGACACATATATTATTAACAAGAGCTGGAGAGAGAAAAGTGGCAGGGGGTATTATTATAGTTGGTTTCCTAGTTTTCAAAGCATGTTTGGCAAAGTATAGCATTATAGCTACTGATTTAAATGGTGCAATGTTACAGTGGAGAAAAGCATTCACACAAGAGCTGCTAGTGTGAATCAAACAAATATACCATTTGTAAGTTAATTAGCACCTCTCGTGTAATTAAAGAAATTATCTCCCTTCAAACAGCAAGAGATAGAATGGAATATTTTGATTTTTTTAGCTCACTGGTTCTTGTCCTACTTTCCCTTTGACAGATTGCCCCGACAAAGTCTGTTGCAGAGCCCCAAACAAGTCTGAAATATCCTCCCACTGTTTTTGAATACTTTACAGTAGGACTTAGCAACTGCAATTTTCCAGATGTTTGGGTTCTTTAATTCCCAGAATTTCTTACTAGTGGCTACACCGGCCAGGGATGATGTGACCTGTATGCCAAGAACATCAGAAAGGTCATGATTATCCATGTCTGCTTTAAAGCAGGGGTCTCCAACCTTGGGCCTCCAGATGTTCTTGGACTTCAGCTCCCAGAAATCCTGGCCAGCAGATGTGGTGGTGAAGGCTTCTGGGAGTTGTAGTCCAAGAGCATCTGGAGGGCCAAGGTTGGGGACCACTGCTTTAAAGGATAGAACATATGCATACTTTAAATATGTCTATGCTGGTTTTCCCCCCAAAAAACAGAAAGGAAGCAGAATAATACTGTCCATGCCCCACATAAACTAGATGTTGAAACAATGGTTTCAGATAACTGCAAACATGGTTAAACAGGGACCTTGACTAATACAAAATGGGCACTTATTACTGGGGGGAAAAACAAAAAGGGAATGCATTCTGGAGAGACAAGAGTGAGGAAAATGTTACTAAGGTTGGCTTCCTCAACAGTATACCATACAACGAAATTCACATTACTAAATGTTACTAAGGTTGGCTTCCTCGTTTGCAAAGTATGTTTGGCAAAGTGTAGCATTTCAGTTGCAACTGATTTAAACTGTGCAGTGTTGAACAGTGGAGAGAAACATAGTCAGAAAATAATATAGGAGAGATGGAGAGAAAGAATACAAATGTCTCATTCAGTAATTAGAAAGTGGCAGCTCATTGTATGTTAATTGATTAAATTAACTCTAATAAGTGAAATGCCATCAAAATTGGGCACATTGAAACAGACTTTGTCAAGTTTGATGAATGCTGATATAAATCTTTATCCAAGGCATTTTCAGGCAAATAAATAATGTGTCTTGTGCACATCTGTTCTATCAGTAATGACAGCTTATCCCTGAAAGGTCTCAGAGTTAAAAAAAAAAAAGTTTCACCGTCAGGAAAGCATCAGGGCTCCAAGGACTTAATTATATTCTCCACAAAAACCTACATAGCAATAATGGATGAAGAAGTCAGGGAAAAACCACTTACATCTAGACATTTTGCCCCTGCTACGTTTTGATCAGCACTTTACTCCAAGGATTAGATATAGATTTTATCTTGGCAAACAATTTATGAAATACATCTTTATATATGTATTATACTCCTCTGCCTGCTGTCAAAGGTCCTGGACAGCCCTTTGAGCCATTCCCAGCTATTAAACCATCTCTAATAATGAACTTCTTCAAAGAATAATTCAACATAAGGGTGAATAATCGTGATACTAATGATATGAAAAACTGGAATAACATCATCATCATCATCATCAAAGGTGGGCACACATATAGCTCTGGAAGTTAACTGCTTCTATTTATTACCAGATAAAGAACAGAAGATGAAATATTTGAAAAATGTGGCAGTGTTGCCAGGTACTTTGAAATACATATTTATTTATTTATTTGCTTGCTTGTTTTTATTTTATTTAAAAAATAAATTTATCCTGCCATTCTTCTTAAAAAGGACCCAGAGCAGATTATATCATTAGAAGATATCATTTGAAGCTAAGAATAGTGAGTATATTAACAGAGTACTAAAAAGGATCAAAGGAATGCCATGCTAACAAAAAGGAAAAGCAGCACCAAAATGCATTTAAAGTAGCAAAGTACCACAATCCCATTTAAAAAAAAAAAAAACATTCAGTCACTCGGAGAAAGGTTGCCGGAAGAGAAAGATCTTCACCATTTATAGAAGGACACTAAAGATGGGGCCAATCTGGCTTCCTGTGGGAGGGGGTTCCAACGGCTTGGGGCAGCAACAGAGAAGACCCTCTCCCATGTACCCACCAAAGGCACCTGTCAAGGTGGCAGGACTGAGTGAAAGGCCCCTCCTGACTATCTTTACACTCAAGCAAGCTTGTAAAAGGAGATGCAGTCCTTGAGGCAGCTTGGACCCAATCCGTTTAGGGCTTTGTAGGTTAGGACCAACACTCTGAATTGTGCCCAGAAACAAATCAGCAGCCAGTAGAGCTGCTGCAACAGGTTGGAGATGTGATTCTTGTGCCCGGCCTCAGCGAGTAATAAGGCTGCTGTGTTTTAGAATACTTCTTAATCTACTGTGCATATAAAATAGCTAATACGATCAATGTTTCCATCTAAACAGAGGCGAGGCGCCTTCCTCAAAACCACTAGTCACACTGCCCATAAGAAATATGGAATTCTATCTATTTAGAATCCACCACTAGTTCTGCTGAGTGTATTGAAGCAAATGTTAGAATATTCTGGGCTCCACAACTAACCAGAGGTTAAAGGGCCATGGGGATAGTAGACATGTACACATACCCAGAATAAATACCAAGAGTGGCCTGACTAAGGGATGAGGAACTGCAATGAAACACCTTTCCCACTCCCTTACAAGATGGAGACCAGAACACAACCAAAGACTCAAGTCGTGAGAAGTCACAAAACAATGGGTGAACTCCACTAATAGGTCATCACTGGAAGAGCCCCCGTTGAATCATTGAGAGCTTGGTGAGTCCACCCCTCTTTAATTTATTTTTATTTATTTATTTATTTATTTTATTTATATCCCGCCTATCTGGTTGGGTCAGGACCACTCTAGGCGGCTAACAACATAAATAATACAATAAAATTAATATACAAAACAATTATTAAATTTAAAACAACAACATGAATTTCATTTCTCTGTCCACATTTTCCAGCAGCCGCTAAGCTTATCCCCAGCACAATCCAACTGCAAATTTCTTATTTCTGATGAACCTTTTAGCACAGTTCTGTTAAAGTTTTACAACATCCTATTTGACCAGAGAGTTAAAGACAACAACAAAAACCCCTTAGAAACAGAAGTGATACACTACAGAAAGTGTCTTCAAAGAGATTAAAGTCTCTAAGAGTCAGAGGCTCTGCACAGCTTTAGATTTAGTTTAGGTAAATTAGCTACACAGGGCTAGACTGCAGATCTCAAACGTGGCTGTCACAGCTACACACAAATCTTTATTTGGAAGCATATAGATTTTTTTAAAAAACGTACAAATCAACAAGATCCTGCTATTGTTTGACAACAATAAAATGCCTTTTACTTACTTAAAAGCAATCTAAAGGAAAAATCACTGCAATATATTGTGAATATTAGCCTACATCTTCTTCACTAAAAACCCCCACAGTGAGAATGGCACAGATACTTTTCAAGGAGAATTCAAAATTAAAAAAAAAAAAAAAACAAAAAACAAAACAAAAAAAACACAACCTGGCAGTTTGTGCCTGTTCATTGATCAACCAAACAGGTATTTGAAGCTTCCCAGCCCCTGATGCAAGGCACAAAAAACAAACAAACAAACAAAAAAACACAACCTGGCAGTTTGTGCCCGTTCACTGATCAACCAAACAGGTATTTGGAGCTTCCCAGCCCCTGCTGCAAGGCACACGCCAGGCCCTGTCTCTTGAGTAGGCATTTGCTGGAGGAGCCAGGGCTAAGAAGTGCCAGACACCTGTTCTGCTAAGAAATAAACTAGCACAAACCACCAAATTAGCAGTTCGTGCATATCTCTACCAGTGACACTGAATAAAATTCCTTGCAAACAGATTTACAATATCAAATCATGGTTTGTAAAATGGGAGAGAACCTCAGAAACGTGCCCTTTGATCCTTCCTCTATGCACATTTCCTGCTCAAATGGGGCCTTTAAATATTGGTGGATTATATGCATGCATTTTATTCCTAGCTTTAAGAAACAAGCGTTTCTTGTCAAGAGACTGGAGCTCTTCTGGAAAGTTCAGGCAGTGCCTGGAATGAGCAGGGTAGGGCAGGGTGGTGGT